CCCAAAAACCTGGAAAAGCAGGAACAAGAGCTGCCAGGGTGTGAAGGGTTGGTTTCCCTGAGGATTGAGCCCAAAAACCCTGAAAATTAAGAACAAGAGCTGCCAGTGTGTGAAGGGTTGGTTTCTCTGAGGATTGAGCCTGGGAACAAGATGTCCCAGGGTGTGAAGGGTTGGTTTCCCCAAGGATTGAGCCCCAAAGACCCAGAAAATCAGGAACAAGAGCTCCCAGGGTGTGAAAGGTTGGGATCCTTGAGGACTGAGCCCCAAAAACCTGGAAAATCGGGAACGAGAGCTCCCAGGGTGTGAAGGGTTGGTTTCTCTGAGGATTGAACTCCAAAAACCTGGAAAATTGGGAACAAGAGCTCAGCTTTGTCCTTGGCAAACCTTGGGCTGCTCTGGGCTCATCCCTGGGCTTTGAGGGCTTCACCTTCAGTGTGGAATCCCCAACAACCCTCTCCAGGTGTTCCCCATCCCTTCAGCCTCCCTTTCCCATTGTCCTGGGGTTTTCCCTCTCCCTGCTCTGCCCTCAGAGGGGAGAGGAGCTCAGGAGATGATGGGAGAAAATTCCAGCATTTCCATGACGCTCTCTAGGTGGGATTCAGGGAATGTTCCTGGCAGGGTGTGCTCCAGCTCCCAGCATCCCACCAGACGGGGATGTCCCGTGCTGGGGGTGTCCCTGGAGGTGGCAGTGACATTCTGTGTCCCTCAGGAATCCTGCTCTCCCTCCGGGGATGTCCCCGAGCCCCGGCGCTCCGCCTTTGAGCCGGCCGGGAGCGGCCAGGAGAAGCTGGACTTCAACAGGAACCTGAAGGAAGGTGGGAAAGGTTCCCAAGGGATCCCTTCCCTGCCCCTTGGGGTTTCCCAAAGAGCTGTGGGATGGATGGGGCCGTGCTGCAGAGCCTTGGGATGTGCTCATGTGGTTGTGCTCTCCTCCCTGTCCCTGTCCTTGTCCCTGTCCCTGTCCCCAGTGATGCCAACCATCGAGAAGCTGCTGGCCAGTGACTGGAAGGAGCGGCTGCTGGGCCGGAACGCGGCTGAATCCAAGGAAGTGAAAGGTGAGATCCACCTCCACCAAGCTCTGTCCTCCATCCCAGCTGGGAGCACCAAAGCAGGAGGGGAAATGTCCACATTTTGTAGGGATTTGTCCATTTTTAATTGTTTTTTTTTGGAGCATCTTTGCATAGGTGGGTGGGGTTCAGCATGTAGGGATCTTTCCATTTCTCCCAAATCTGCATTCCCTGGTCAATGGTGGCTCTGCTCTGGTGGCTTTAGGACTCCTCTACCTCGCATTTCCCACCCCAAAATCTTCAATTTCCCAGTGAAAGGAAATGGGAATTACACTCCTTAACCAAAACCACCTCCATCCCACCTTGTGCTTGACCCTCTCCCCACCCCCTGACCCTCATCCAGTCGGGTTTTTTTCCCCCCAGGAACGCAGGAGAGCCTGGCGGAGAAGGAGCTGCAGCTGCTGGTGATGATCAACCAGCTGTCCACGCTGCGGGACCAGCTGCTGACGGCGCACTCGGAGCAGAAGAACATGGCCACCATGCTCTTCGAGAAGCAGCAGCAGCAGATGGAGCTGGCACGGCAGCAGCAGGAGCAGGTGGGGACTGTCACCCCTCCGGGGTCCCTTTGGGATCAGCGTGTGGGGATCTTCCCATTCTTCCCCAGTCTGACATTCCCTGCTCTGGTGGCTTCAGGACTTTTCTGCCTTGCATTTCACACCCCAAAGTCTTCGATCTCCCCGGTTAGAGGAGCAGATCCCTTTGGGATCGTGGGACCATGAGCGGCTTTGGGGTCCCATTTTGTGTTCCCATCCCAAAGCCCTCGGTGCTGGGAGGACCAAGGGTGGATGGAGGTGGGGGTTGAGCTCCTCAAGATGAACAAACCACCCCAGGTGCCTCCTCCTGCCTGTGCTCACCTGCTCCTTGAACACCTTGGGTTTTCCTCTCCCAAGGGCAGGGGTGACACCGCTGTCACACCTGGGGTGTGACACACAGTCCTTGTGTCCCTCGAGGTGGCTCAGCCCCTCTTCCTGCCCTTCCCATGGTGCTGGAGACCCCCTGCCACCCTTTTTCTGTGGTGCTGGCTGGGTTCTGCCAGGTCCTGTCCTTGATGTCACCAATGCCACTGTCCCCTCCGCAGATCGCCAAGCAGCAGCAGCAGCTCATCCAGCAGCAGCACAAGATCAACCTCCTCCAGCAGCAGATCCAGGTAAAGGCAGGGGACACCTCTGTCCCTGTGACCGCAGCCGTGTCCTGCTGTGCCCTGCAGCGCTGATCTGGTGTCCCTGTGTCCCCTCCAGCAGGTCAACATGCCCTACGTGATGATCCCCGCCTTC